GCCCAGCACGAATCCAACCACTCCGGGTCCGGAGTCGTCGGCGGCACCCTCAGCCTCACCCTCACCCTCGCCTTCGTCTTCGTCTTCGTTTTCGCCGAGTCCGAACCCATCGACGCCTACAACTGAGCAGACACAGCAAAACTATATCACTGAGCTTTCTCAGCTTGATTCAGAATCTAACGATCTGGAGATGCAGCATGCAAATGCCGATACTGAGCAAGCATCTATGACAACGACGACTGTTCGTCAAGACGATTCTGTTCCGGGTATATCATAGATTTTAATATTTTTTTGTTTGTATTACATTGTTACGGAATTACTGGTTGAGAAATCACTAAACGAATCATTGAATATTTGAGTAAATTTTTCACAACATTCAAAAAAGCTTTATCATTTGTACTATACCGCTGGGCATAAAACAATTATTAGCGATCTTTCTCAACTATTAACATAATTAATTCACTGATCATGACGTCTTTTTCTTATTTACAAATGAGATAAAATAATTTTTTTTATTTTAATTAGTAATATGCCAGCTATATTTTTAAATACAATTTTTATAATTTAATTTTTTAATTAAATTTAAATTAATTATAGATTGAATCAACTTCTATCTAGGAATTTGTGCGTGTATGTATGTGTGCGTGCGCGCGTGTGTGCGTGCGCGCGTGTGTGCGTGCGCGCGTGTGTGCGTGCGCGCATGCGCCCGTGCGTGTGTGTATATTTTACGTAGAAATTGTGAAAATAGATCACAAGTAAAATTTTATTTTCTATCGTAAAAGAGTTAAACGTGCCATTGGATATTGTATATTTGATCGAATTTCGATATCCAACGTACTTTTTCTATAAATCTGTAGAAGAACAAATTAAAACAGTGCATTTAATCGTACCTGTATATACTTATTCCAATTGTGATAGAGGGATAGGGAAGAAAAACTCTTTTCTATATGACGCTTGTGCTTCAGCGAGCGAGTTTCATTTCATGAAGCATATTAAAACTTACATATTATTGGGAACGATGAAAAAAAGGTTTACTCATATGCCAGAAAGGCTGACAGAAAAATGATCCTTGGGCGGGGAAATATCAAAGAAATATGCTCGAGTAATTTTTGAGATATCGTATAACGTATCGTAATCGTCAATAATTCTATGATTACGCGTGCCAGCTCGCAAAACGCGCGCGTTTCACCGGTTTAAAGTTTTGAATGAGCACTTTGTAGATCCTATGTCACTGACACTCGTCGCTTTGGAGCGCCTACATAGTTTGGCATGCGATACCTCGCGATCGTATTTCAATTCGAACAATCCAACTAGCACTGATTATTTTTCTGGGCTTTTAATTTCACCTCTCGTTTCGCGTTCGTGGCTCGGATAATCGATAATCGTTTTAACACGCGTGCGAGCGCTACATTGGAAATCAGTTTGTTTACAGCTGCGGTTTGACTTACAGTTGTGCGCGCTGCACCATGTTTATACCATACTGATCGTTTGACTTTTATTACGGATATTTAGTTATCTACTAAATTGCACGAAATGTTAAAATATAATATTTCTTTGTGGAGCCGGATATGTAATAAAAGGAACAATTTTATGTTGAATCGCAGTATCGGAAGACAGGACAGTGCCTGTCGCATCAACTTCCGTTGCGAAAGCGGAAGTGAAATCGTCAGCATCTGGAGCTGCGAGTCCGATCGCCGATACTTCATCCTCTGAAGGTTTTGAAGTCATAGAGTCTGCCGAGATGGTGCGTAAGGAAGCATCTACCGAAGACAAAAAAGAACATTAGACTTTGATCATGCCAGGTGCGTGGCAGTCAGAGCAAAGAGTGTATTATTTCCATACGACTACTTCCGTCGATTTCCCTTCATAAGAAATCGGCGCGGTTATCTGTCATTTAACTGTAAAGTAAATACTGTCTCTCTCTCTCTTTTTTTCTATTTTTTATATATATATATATATATATATATATATATATATATATATATATAATATATATATTCTCTCTCTCTCTCTCTCTCTCTCTCTCTCTATATATATATATATATATATATATATATATATATATATATAAGAGAATGAACAAAATATATGTCGAGGTTCGATTTCAATAGGATGAAATTATTTCTTTGAAAATGTCATAGGTATCACGCTTCAAGATCAGAATCAACGGACGAAGAGACAAAGATTTATATAACGACATGTAGTCATAGAAAGTTTTTAACGGGATTATTATAAACGGATGATTAAAGATCAGATTTAAATAGGTTGTTACATGTTTCAGTGTTAGATTTGTTAGAAATATAATAGCAAGATTAATCGTTATAAACGTAACTATTTCAAAAATTATTAAATGCAATGTATTTTAATTTATTACGTTCGTATCAGGTGGATTGTTTAATAATTGTTCTTTAATATAATACAAAATTTTTTAATATAACATTCTGTAAAATTGTTTTATATTTGACATATCAAACAATGTTATGATATAAAAGATTTCGTATTTATTGAAAGATATGTTAGTAACAGCATATGTCACGATAAATACTGTCTTTCGAATAAAGCGCATATTTACGAATTATCTAAAAATTTTTACATGTGTAATTTGTTTACAAATATAATATTTAAGAAATATAATATTTCTTAGTGGATGAAGCGAATTATTTCAGACAAATTTTTTTTTACATATACTTTTATTTAATTATTATTTTATATATTTAACTATCTTATTCTCAATGATTTTTGAAACGATTTCAAACAATTTTTTGCGTTTGTTATCATACAAAAATAATATAATTAAAACAAAAGATATTTATAATTATTATTTGTATTGCACCGCAAAAAATTATATTAGAGGAGATTACAAGATTACTCGACAAAAATTATATTTAATTATATTTAAGATTGAGATTTAATTGAAATTGATCTGAAATACGCCAAAATTTTTTCCGAATAATATTTTGTACAAATCTTTATTGCGAAATAGTTTACTACAATCTTTATTGCGAAATAGTTGAATATTGAATTGTTCCCACTTGTCTCTGCACTCTTCGTCTATTAAAAATGTTACGAAAGCACCGGCGAAATCGTTAAAATTGCAGTTTCTGAGCGTAATAAGTCAGAGTGCCTTTGGAATATTCTTTCATTTCCTCTTTTATTTATATTATACTTATATGTACACGCACGCGCGCGTACGCACACGCGCGCACGCGCGCACACGCACACACACACACACACACACACACACACACACACACACACATACGCGCACGTGTATAATCTATGAATAGGAGAGTATTTTTTGCAAACAACTCTTACGTGGAAAAGGATTAAATCATTAGGAAAGCATTTTCTTCAGTTTATTTTCAGTTACAATATATTCATTAATTTTGTCAATAGTATTAGATAAATTAATATGAATAAATACATAAATCTATACAATCATTACGCTTGATTGCAACAAGTAATTTTTTTTATTTTTCGACTTTTTTCCCCGATTGAGCGCACTTGATTAAAGTGATCTGACGATTGATTTTAACTAATAAATATTTTGAAATTCCTGAATACTATATTGTATAATGATGTAAAAAAACTGTTGATTTGCATAGGAATCTCTTTAGTTTAAATCCATACATAATCAATATTATGTTTAATAACAAATAATTTAAAAGATAATGCCATATAAAGACATAGCAAGTTGCTAAAATAAATAGAATCAATGTATGTTTCACATGTCCTTCCTTTTACTTATCGATAACATATTTTATAGTACATTTGAGATTTGGGATTTCTTTCAAATATTTTGCGGAATATCTATTCCGTATCTCTAACTCACTATTTTATGTTTAACCGATCTGTTTAACGCAAGTTTAGCTAGTTAAGTTACAATTGCCATCTGAGTGATAAAACATTGCGAATTATTAGCAGAACGCAATAAAGAGAATGAAAAAGAATATCGCGAAATCGCGAAAGAAACAGCTTCTGACGGAATTGCCGATGTCACATTCTCCGTCTTGATGTGTTGTTATTTAGAATTAACGATATTTATTACAGTATAACTTTACACTATATAGTATGTCTGTTCCGGAGATTCGTGTGACGTTTAGTAATATATATATATATATATATATATATATATATATGTATATACAACTAACAACACACACACACACACACACACACACACTACTCACACATATAATTATATGTGTGTAGTATATATATATATATATATATATATATATATATATATATATTATAATTTATATGTATTATATATATTATATATAAATATATATATTTCTTTTGGTTGTATATATTACTGAATAATATTGTTATTATTATCTCTGATGCTATTATTGCTGCTGTTATTATTAGATTATATATAAATAAATGCAGAAATCTTATGATATGTTTTATGTGTTTCGATTTATTATCGATTTGACCCCACCCCTGTATCAACGTTGCTTGAAACAGCAGGATAAATTCGAGATTTAAAAGCGATTCTTGCGAAATTGAAATTGATTGTTCAACTTGGAACGTAAGATGGAAGCATACGGCGGGGAAGAACTATGTTGGATTCTGTCCAAGTCGCGCGGGTGGGATGACGGAGAAGGACGGGACAAACCGAAATAGACAAATAGACACTGATATCCCTTTGAGGGAATCAAACAGGTGGTGTGGAGCACGAAGATAACACGATAGAGCGAGAAAAAGAAAGGGGGGGGGAAGACAGACTGCGTGGGCGAAAGGTGGAGGTACGGGTGATTCGTAGAAATGCCCAAAGAGACACGACACTCCTACAAATGTAGCGATTTATTTTCATTAAGACATAATTAGAAGTGAGTCGCACCGCGATCCATTCCGTCGTTCGAACCCTCTTCCGTTCCATTGTATCGCCATTCTCCTAAACACATATGTACATGATACACCGATACGCTGCATCGGTGCCACACTATATTTGAGCTTGGTATTTTAAAGATGCATAATCTTACCGCGTGTAGCATTTTCCTTAGAAATTATTACGAATCTCTCTCTCTCTC